TCCGACGAAGCACCAAACGTAGGCAAGTACTTAATCCAGCTTAGGCCAAGCCAAGCCAAGCCAGTCCAAGACAATCCCAGGATTTAGTCCAGTCCATAACAGTCCGCCGTACCAAACGACCCCTTAATGATATGAGCCACATGTTTATATCAACCTCTCTAGCTACTAAGCCTATAATCATTGCCTACTAAACCATTCATTTATAAGGCTATGATTGTTACCTATCATTTAATTGGTTTGATTGAACTTGGAAAAATATATTTGAAGTTTGAATCACTCCTTCAAGCTAGTACATGAGGACGTGTGTGCACACAAATTAATCAAAGATATATCCATTAGAAAGAACCAACCCAAAGCATGGTGCATCAAAACAAAAGCTAAATAACCATAAAGTATGATAGGCAGTCCCACATCGCCTGCACACATTCACTTCAGCTATTTTGTGTTTTATAAATATCTTCACAGACTTGATAGCCATCAAGCACGAGTGCGTGGGCCTAGAATGTCTAGTCCATAATTAAACTACTTTTGTACTGAGTTTTGGCAAATTTGGTATTAGAATCTCTAAATATTTGTGATTAATGTCTAAGTTGGTATTAAAATCTCTAAATATTATTTTGTTCCAAAAAATGGCATGGGCCGTATAGGCCCGAACTAAAAGCCCGAAATTGTTAAGCTCGTAGGTAGGGTTTGGGCTTAGCACATTTCATATGGAGCTTGCTCGGCCCGGCCCATTTAAGGGCCAAGAAAGTCCAAGTCTAGCCCCAGGTTCAAAACTCGGGCAAGCTGACGTCATTGATGACGTCAGCGCTACAGTGCATCGCTACAGTGCTGCGCACAGTACTCTCTGCCACGTGGTTGCTGCTGGGGCTCTCCGATTCGATTTTTTCCAGCAATCCAACGGCGACGATTTTTTGTGCAATAAAAAATTGAAAAAAAATCGAAAAAATGTTTTAAAAATTCCAAAAAAAATACTGAATTTATTTTCTATAAAAATACCAACAAATACTCTTCACTTTAAAAAAAAAATACCGAAAATCTTATCTGATATGAATAGTATTGACACGTAGGAACCCAAAAATCTTACCCGAAAATATTATCCAAAACAATTGTTTAAGTAAAAAAAATTGTGAAAAAAACAAAAAAATGAATAGTAGTTGCCATGGCAAGAGTTTGATTGCTGGAAACACACATAGCTAAAAAAGGCAAGGACAGCCACTATTCATGTGAATAGTGTCAGCCCTAGCCCCCCCTTTGCCATGACAAGGGTTTGTTGCTGGAAATGCTCTTATAGGGTAGGGCTTGGGCTCGTATTTTTCAGGGTCGAACTGGCTTGACTCGGCTCAGCCCATTTTACAGGCTTACTTTTGGATGTCCAGCTGCTCATCCCCAAACTGACTTACTCGTGGCAACCTTCCAGCCGCCCAAGATTCCAGCCACCCCATTAATGCTTGGGATAGAAAGTCATGCACCTGGAATTACAACATACTGGAAGTCACACCTAGAGCTATTACAAATCATTTCCCCTTTCCCAAACTAGAGCTATTACAAATCAATTCCCCATTTACCAAACTAATTCATAAACCTCCAAGAAAGTTTCCAAGCTTCCCAACAATCTCATTGAATTTGGGGTTACTCTTTAGAAAATCAAGCCAAAACGTGTGAAAAAGTCTTCTGTAAAACCTTTGCTCCAGATTTAGCCTCCTTGCATCCTTTAGTTGAGTCAATTCAATTTTCCCAAGAAAAAGCTCCCCGCATAACCCTGGAACCCTCTTTTAATTCTCTTTTCAAATTTGAAAGTGAAATGTGCTCAAAATCTGGAATAAAGAAAAAGAAAAACTTGAGCGAAAAACTCAAATTTCTTTCTCAGGCTTTTTATTTCCCGAGACACTCCTCTGTTGATTGTGACCTTAATTACCAGAACTTAGCTGGAGAATGAAACGCAAGACGCAACCTGTGAATGTGAAAGGAGGGAAATTCTTTCTTCACTACAACAAATTTTTGGTCTTTCATTTGCTGATTGGTGGTGTCCGAGACCAAGCATTGATGCGCTCATTTGGCCAACTGGTTTGTACCATATCTCTACACAGTTACGTGATCTATCGATCAAGACAGAAGGTAACAAAAAAAGTTTCTATTTTGACCTGCAATTTTTCCACCATCGTTTGATGTTTGAATGAGGATGGCATTTCTTGCACTCATAACATACTGAGAAATACATATGCTATGATTGGCTATGTGAATTCCAGCATATAATGTTCTTTTCTTGATAAATACATCAGCATTTTGTAAACATCAGAAGTTGCCTATGTTTTCAATGCATACTACTTACCAGTCAATTGTGGTTTCCTTCACGGTACATACAGGGTCTTCTCAGTTAACAATCACAAGGGTGTTTTCTAATTCTATCCTTAACATGAATGGAACCAGTAGGAAGGGAGATCCAGAACAAAAACTAAATGGGTCATCTTTGTTTTTCGTTTATGATCGGTACTAATTTGCTCTTTCTGTTATTCACACTTTCCTTTGCAGTTGATAGCATTAGTCCCTCCCAGTCTATCCGTGATGGAACAACCTTGGTTTCCAAAGGTGGAAGCTTTGAGCTTGGTTTCTTCAGTCCAGGTAGTCCCGAGAATCGTTACTTGGGAATTTGGTACAAGAACATCCCAGTTCGAACTGTTGTGTGGGTTGCAAACAGATGCAACCCCATTAATGATTCTTCCGGCATCTTGATGATAAACAGTACAGGACATCTTGTGCTGTTAGGTCAGAATAAGAGTGTTGTTTGGTGGATAAGCTCAGCTAAACATGCCCGAAGTGCAACAGTAGAGCTTTTAGATTCTGGGAATTTAGTACTAACACTAAGAGATGCAGGAACCTATTTGTGGCAAAGCTTTGACTATCCTTCTGATACGTTCTTACCAGGAATGAAGATAGGATGGGACTTCAGGACAGGTATAAAATGGAGTTTATCAGCTTGGAAAAATTCAGAAGACCCGTGTCCTGGAGATTTCACTTATGGGATTGAAATGGAACGTGATACTTATCCTGAGGGATATGTTCGGAAAGGCACTGCAAAATACTATCGTGGTGGCCCATGGAATGGCCTGAGATTCAGTGGTTCACCAGAATTAATGCCTAATCCACTTTATAGTTTCGAATTTGTCTATAATGATGATGAAGTGTACTACACGTACAACCTTCAAAATGAGTCTGTAATCTCAAGAATAGTTTTGAACCAAACCACCAGTACTCGTGATCGCTTTACGTGGATTGAAGCAGATCAAACTTGGAAGGCCTATTCATCAGTACCAAGAGACTTGTGTGATAATTATGGCCTCTGTGGAGCCAATGGAAAGTGTATCATTGATGAGAATCCAGTCTGCCAATGTCTGAAAGGATTCGAGCCTGTGTCTCAAGAAAAATGGAATTTGATGGACTGGTCTCTAGGATGTGTGCGCAATAAACCATTAAGCTGCCAGGAAAGATATAAAGATGGGTTTGTCAAATTTGTTGGCTTGAAACTGCCAGATACTACACATTCTTGGGTGAACAAAAGTATGAATCTCAAGGAATGCAGAACCAAATGCTTGAACAACTGTTCCTGTATGGCTTATGCAAGCTCGGATATCAGAGGAGGAGGTACTGGCTGCGCCATCTGGTTTAGTGATCTAATAGATATCAGGCAGTTTCCAGATGCTGGGCAGGTTCTTTATATTCGAATGTCAGCTTCAGAATTAGGTATGGAACTTTGTAACATTGGCTGCTTGTTAAATACTTTTTATGTGACATTTAGCTCGATTGTTGATTCCATGTTGTTTTGATAAGAAATCCATTTTTCTTCTATCTAAGTTAAATCATTGACCTGATTTTTCCTTTATTGTTTGCTGCATTTTTTACTCATCTTCTCTACTGCATCATGCAAACATGATGAAGAAAGTGGTGGTAAAGTGAAGACAGCAATGATAATTGCAGTTTCCGTAGCAGTAGTGTTTTCTGTAGTGCTGTTAGTTGGATATTACCTTCACCGAAACAGGAGAAAATTAAAAGGTACATTAACTACCTTGACCATCTTTGCAAAAAATTTGTGGGTGTTGTTTGATTGTGTTTTGATGAATATTTGACAGAAAGGGATTTAAAGTTGTATGGAGTTTAATTTCGTGTATAAGCTATCACTGACATCAACCCCATTTCTACTACATGCGGGAAAACAGAGATAGGTGAAACAAATGTGAACAATGAAGGGGAACCAGAGGAGGATCTGGAGCTCCCGCTCTTTGACCTGCCCACAGTAGCTAGTGCCACAGATAACTTTTCAAGCCATAACAAGCTCGGAGAAGGTGGATTTGGACCCGTTTACAGGGTAAATTTGTAACTTGTATTTTAAGGGCCAAACTAAGAAAAAATAACTACATCCAGAGTTTCACAATATTTTGAAATACTGTAAATTTCCAGGGGACACTACCAGATGGACAAGAAATTGCTGTGAAGAGGCTTTCAAGAAGTTCTGGCCAAGGATTGAATGAGTTCAAGAATGAAGTTATACTGATTGCAAAGCTTCAGCATCGAAATCTTGTAAAGCTTCTTGGATGCTGCGTTCAAGGAGAGGAGAAAATGCTGATTTATGAATACATGCCCAACAGAAGCCTGGACTCCTTTATTTTTGGTTTGGACCTTTGGTACCTTAAAATTTTAGGCAGAATCAATTGCTTTAAAATAATTCATATGTAGGTTTTTAAACAGTTTTGAACTGAAGTTGAATTTGGATTAAACTTGCCAGATAGTGCGAGAGGAGAACTATTGTTAGATTGGCCTAAACGTTTCCACATTATTTGCGGAGTTGCTCGGGGTCTCCTCTATCTCCATCAGGATTCCAGGCTAAGGATTATTCATCGAGATCTCAAAGCAAGTAATGTTTTACTTGATAATGAAATGAATCCAAAAATTTCAGACTTTGGCTTGGCTAGAACATTAGTTGGAGGAGATCAGACTGGTGGAAATACAAACAGAGTGGTTGGAACATAGTAAGTTTTCCTTTGAATATTTTTCCACGATCTACTGTTCATCCCCATCAATGGTTTATTATGTTCTCACTTCCATATGATGTTTATACTTTCTACAGCGGTTACATGGCACCTGAATATGCTATCTATGGGCTGTTTTCTGTCAAATCTGATGTCTTTAGCTTTGGTATTTTGGTGCTGGAGGTCATAAGTGGAAGGAAAAATAAGGGATTCTACCATCCAAACCACAGTCATAACCTTATTGGACATGTAAGAATCAGCAGTATAATTTCTTCTTGATACATATTAGACGTGTGAATGGCAATTGATCACAGAGGAGTTTTGACATGTTTTAGGCATGGAGATTGTGGATTCAAGGAAGGCCTTTAGAACTGATTGATACGTGTTTTGAAAGCTCATGTACTCTATCGGAAGTGTTACGTTGCATCCATGTTAGTCTCTTATGTGTGCAACATCATCCTGAGGATAGACCAAGTATGGCATCTGTGGTTATCATGCTGGGAAGTGAGATTGCATTGGCTCAGCCCAAACAACCTGGTTTCTTTATAGAAAAGGAATCACATGAAGTAGGCTTTTCTTCAGGTAATCAAACATCTTCAACAAACGAAATATCGATTACACTTTTGGAGGGCCGTTAAGAAGCGATTAATTCGTGGTATATAGGTTCATGCTGCTTTGTTTACTTGCTGTGCATACTTTCAAAACAAGTAACTTAGGGACCGTTTGATAACCATTGCAATTTTAGTTTTTATTTTTTATTTTTTGTGCTAGAGTATAGAGGAAAAAGAGGGAAAATGGAAGTGAGAATGAGAGTGAAGATGGAATTGAGAGGGAAGATGAGAGGGCCCTTAGTTTATAGATCGAAGTGGTGTGAGTTATTGAACAATAGATAGGTTGGGTGATAAAGACCATTTAGCTATTCATGTCATACAACATGTATATGCTACCAACTATTTCTCAACGGACACTTTTGAAAAAAGCAGCAAGGTTATCTTGAAGCATGAATATGTGAATTCCTTGTTTTATGAAATTTTCTTAATATCCCAAGTTCCATAGATCTCATAAACATTCTGCACCCAAAAACCAAAAACAAAAAACAAAAAAAGATCTCATAAACGGGCTTGTGTTAGTATTTTTCTATCCGTTATTCTTTCCAACATGCTCAATAAAGGGACTTAGGCCCAGCGAATGACGAAGGTTTAGGCTTTAGTCAACGTGAGCTATGGAACTTCGCATTTATTTTCATTCTTTTTGTGAGAGGGGTTTTTTTTAAAATTTTAAATTTATTTTAGAATTAAAAAAGATAATGAGTAGTTGTGTTTCATAAAAATAGGATCTATTATCTGATTTTCTTTTAATTAAATTTTTTTTTAATATGAAAAAGTGTGAATTTACCACATTATTCTCATTTAATTAATAATTTCAATTCTTAATGTTTGCATTAACCAAGGGCATTTTCTGGTATTTTGAATGTTTAACCATTCTCTGCCTTTTGCTTTATATATACTAGCCTCTCCACATGCGCTTCCGCGCCTATGAGAGACATTTTTTTTAGAATTGAAAAAGATAATGGGTAGTTGTGTTCCATAAAAATAGGATTCATTATCTGATTTTTCTTTTAATTTTAATTTTTTTAATATGAAAAAGTGTGAATTTACCATATTATCCTCATTTAATTAATAATTTCAATTCTTAATGTTTGCATTAACCAAGGGCATTTTTTGGTATTTTGAATGTTTCACCATTCTCTGCCTTTTGCTTTATATATATAGATATATAGATTATTCACATTGGTTGGTTTTTTTTTCTTTTTTTTTATATATACAAATAATATTCTACTTTAATATAATCTAAACTACGGAAAGGGGGATTTGAATTCGGGTGCAAAGTGGGGAGCATATTCCGCTCTAGCTAATTTAGCTAAGCCCATTTATGCCAATTGGTTGGCATGTTAATCTTTTAGAAACAGAATTTATTTCATTTTGCTCAAAACTAATGAAATAAATTGATTAACGTGAGCATACATCAACATGAGTAACATGCTCTGATTCCATATTAAAATGTGAAGCTGCGAGCTTCAGAAAAACCAAAGTGTAAAGTCAATGTTATGACAATAGGTAGGAGAAAGGAAAGTTTTTTTTGACAAATGAAAAGAAATGAATTTATTTGATGACTCGTGACCTGTTTGTAAAGACAAACGAAGAAACACCCATCGCAATCCACAAATTATCAAAATCCATTGTCAATTTGATTTAGACAAATTTTTATAATTCATAGTTTTAATATCCTTTTGTAAAATATATCCTTTTGTAAAATAATTTTTATAAATAGACATAATTTTTATAACGATAATTGTGTGTTCCTTTTATGCCACCACTTCGACATATACTTCTACAGCAAATGCGGGTTGATATGGTTTATCAGAAGGATGCTACTATGAATCATCAAATTGGGCTTCTTTGATATATATATATATATATATATATATATATTCCAATGAAAACCTTCTAGCGCAGATATGAGAAAGCTTCATTCATAAAATTCTGGTTGCCTGGACTCATTCAACCATAAATTGCACATAATTTAGAGAGAGTTCAAGAACAAGAACATGTCTGGCAGTTGTGAATTGAGGAATATTTCTCCAGGGGGGTTGATGTGCAAATGTTCTCAATTTTTGTGTTTTGCTATATATATATATATATTTGTAGTTTATTTTATTTCACCCAAGATGAAATTCCTGTGTGTTGAGCAATGGGCACGGCGGCCACTTGTAGGTGAGGGGAAAATGAGAGATTTGGGATCTTTCATGGTGTAAAATGAGAGATTTGGAGATGGCAGACCAGTAATTGTCTAAATTTATTCAATTTTGGTTATTATAAAAAATAAAACCAATGAGAAGGGTAAAATCGAAATGATGAAATCTGAATAAATAATGTCTTAAATCAAAATACAGGTGTCAATTATACAGAGAAGGGACACCGAAAGACACATAAAATGGGACAGCAGATCCTCTCTGACTCAAGTAAGCCTTACAAAAAAAAAATGAAGTCTCATTATTACCTTCACTTAGGCTTACAAACCAAAATAATAAAAACATAACAGAAATATAAATGGGCTACTTACTCAAAGTCGTGAACTTCAAATATTGGCAGCAACATCACTTGTGGAATCTTTTGCACTACGTGGCAGTGTTGTAATCCCAACAAAACATACATAATGTGAGATAAAAAGGAAGAGGTTGATGAGCACATAATTATTACATGTAATATCCCTTAAATGATATTTGTTAGTATCTTATTTGTTTAATTTTGGACTAATTGCTTTGATACATGGGTATGTCACATGTGAGGTGTTGTTGTTACAAGGATGGCTTATTCAACTTGGACAATAAACATGTCATGGGCATTCACGTGGGTTGGCAACAAGATGATGAAAGGCTACCTTTTGGAGGTTTGCACATGCCAAAGGAATGCAAAGAGAGAGATGGTTGGCCACCAAAGGAAAGAGATAAGGAAATGGAATCATGATGGCAATAAACAATGGAAGTGGAGCATCAATTGAGGAATTAAAGAAGAAGAAAGCTGCGGGAATGGCATGATGGGATAATAATTTATTCAAGACATATTGCAAGGTTGCAACATGAGCTTCTCCTATAAATAGAGAGATCCTCCACACCATTCAACACACACCCAAGCTCCACAACTCTTGAGCTTTCTCTCTTCCCTCCATCTTTCTAAGTTTTAATTTCTGTTTTTAGTTTTATTTTATTATGGGGAACTAACTCCCTAGCTAAGGCTAGGGAGAAAGCTTTTAATATGAGTGTGCAATTTTTATTCGTTTGATCCAAACTTAAGCTTTAATGTGAATTTGTAGTTTTTGTTCAAATGGAATTTGTATTTTTCTTTTTAATTAATTGATGAATGTTTGATAATCTATTTCATGGGTTCAATCATGTTTTTCCCATTGTGTAGTAAAAACTTTCATGCTTTTAAAAGAGAAGAGAATTACTAAAGATTAATAGATTTTCGACGAAGATTATTTTTTGATAGTTTGTTGCCATTGGTACAAGTTATGCTTAGAATACTTCTAAAGGAAATTAAAAAGAGCTTTAATTATTTTGAACAACTACATTGGAAAATATTTTGTGGATCAAATTATTAAGAGTTGCATGCTTATGTCAAAAGTGGAACCCCAATGCCTTAGTGTTTTAATCAATTAATTTTTCTTTAAATCAAATCTTGCATAAATCTACCTCTCAATCACACTTGTTCTTTTTCATCTCTGTTATTTTCTTTACACTGCTCTCTGTGGATACGACACTCGGACTTCCGAGCTACACTACTATACGATACATTCCCTTGGGTTTTGTAAAGTGGTACGAACAGAGGTTATTGAACAACTTTACAAAAGGAAAAAAACATTACAGGAACAAGTTATAATCTCTACAAATGCACACTTATCATATTCCATTTTCTCCAAAGTCTAATAAAACTCAAGATCATCTTTGGTGGGCTTCTTGTTGAAGTAAAAAGCCTCACACTTAAGCCAATCATTAGTGCAAATAAGGGCCTCAACTGTTATCGGGGTCAAACAAGCTCAAAAAAGATCCACAACCTTCTTCCCAACACTAAATTTAGATTCTGAAGGCACACTGTAAACAGGGTTAGTAAATACATCCCTTGCAACCTTAGACAAAATTGGAACCTTAGAGAGTTTTCTCTCCACCAAGTTAACAAATCAAATCCTACTGGTGCTTCTGGATCTTGAGCTGCCTCCAATAAGTACTTATCAACCTCATTCTTTATTTGAACCATATCTTTGTCATTTCTTGTTCTTAAAAACCTTTTAAGTCTTGGATCACTCCCAACAACTTACTTCCCCCCACCCTCGGCATTAACCTCCACATTAGATTAGCTAAATTGACAGGACCCGCCTTGAATTTCCCTGGAATCCGCGATGAATCTTGTAATATTTCCGACATCAAGCTGATGTTAGGCCCATTTAATAACGTCATAGCCTCTTTTTCCAAATCAAGGAAAAGAGTTCGAGACATTCTGCCCTAAATTTCGGCAGTCTCCCCTGAAAAACGGACATTTCCCAAATTTTTAAACCTGTTAACACAATTATAAACACAACCAGCAGCATGCACACAGTAATAACATGCAATTTACATATTAGGCCTCCGGCCTTAAATTCAACCCTAACATGGGCAATAAAAGAGCATATCTAACGGAATTCAGTTTACAAACAAAATAAAGTTCAACATAAGTAAAAATAGATAAAAAATTTCCCTACAGGAAGTCGGGGCTCGGAAGTTCAGGGCTCGGCGCTGCTGCTCAGCTTAGGTCAACTAATGTCTAGGGGATTGTTTGGCTAAACCACTACCAAACTTGTACCAGGGAAACAATCCAACCAGGGGATTATTTGGCTAGACCACATGGAAGAATCTTCAATTAACCATGTGGCTAGGGAACAAGCCGTCCAACCTGGGGACTAGCTCACCAGCACGTACAGCAAAATCCTCAATACTCGTATGCCTGTGACAAGTCCTACACGTGCAGACTAACCCCGCTAAGGGTCTACGAAACACCCTGTCAAGGGTGCCAGGGTTCCGACATATCCAAGTATCTCAAAAGTTTCCAAGTATCCAATCCATGTATTTCAAATCCAATGAGGTACATAGGGTAGTGCTAATAGCACTCTAAACTAACATAAACCACAACCCACTCTCATTCCATAATCTCATTACCAATAACCCCATGTACCCAATACATATCCAAATATAGATAATAATTCTCAAAAATAGCATATATCCATTCAAGATAATCACAATCCGCAAATATTCAAATATAATTCCAATACTTTTCATAATCATATTATATTTCAACTTCTAAATATAAAATAACTCAAAAATCAAAGAACTCATTATGCATATTTTTCCATCCTTGAAAATAATAAATATTATTTAAAAACAAAGTCCACTCACAGATACGCTGCTTGACCCTGAGAAGGTCTTGCCTACTGTTCGGT